ACTTTACGGCTTATCAAACATTTGTAGGTTATTTAAAACTTTGAAAATATTTTTGGAGATAATGATTTAATGACACAAATTCTAATTAACTTTTAGCTGGTGGGAGAATTTTGGTTGCTTATCCATTACGCCAACCCTGCATTCCAGCACCTGTTATTCCTAAGCGGTCACGAATCTGGGTTCTGACCAAACAATACGTTGTTTAACTTCGGCAATCGTACGAGAACCCAAATTTCGTGTGATACCACCGTACGCCTATACATATATAAAAATAACTTGGTATATATATATATATATATATATATATATATATATAACCAGTGTAACCCATTTTCGACCTGGTCTTTCATTACTGGGGAATTTTGCCGTTCAATTGGAGCAGTTTAATTTTAAAGTTAACCCACCCGAAAATCAACAACAATCTGGTGCAGCTGAGTCTCATCCACAAATTGGAGGTGGGAGGGGGGGGCTGAAAAGTTCCGTTTTTGTGTTCTCAATATTGTTTCAGCTTCGCGCGCAAAAACATTCGGATGAAAACTCTGGAAACACATAAACATCCGGTCACACACACACATTTTGAGAATTATAGATATAGATAGTATTATTGTAATAATTAAGAACTATTTTTTATTAAAGTTTTCATTAAATATATATATATATATATATATATATATATATATATATATATATATATATCTAAGAATAGATAGTAAATATTAAAACGTTGCTGAGAGTTATAGTGGACAGGAAGTAGTGGAGAGCCATTGTCGCTAAAAATTTGGAATCAAAACCGGTACTGAAGAATTATTAATCAAGCAATAAAAAATTTGTCGAAATCGGATGGAAACTGGAAATGCATAAACATCCGATCACACACATTTTGAGAATTATATATATATATATATATATATATATATATATATATATATATATATAGAAACGAAAGTTGTGTGCTGCACGTTGGATAGTCTTAGGATATATTTATAAAAATCTTGTATTTTTAAGCAAAAAATTGTCAGTACATATTTTCGTCACTGCTGGAGAGGATCTCGTACAGATCTTTTATGGAGAATGTGTCAAACATTTTTTTATACATCTCCCCGTTGCTATAAATCACAGCCTGGTTTGGTTTCTGCAAATGTTCAGCAAACTGCAAGAAATACGAAATTTTCAACCTAAAAGTTTTAGACCCCTAACTCTTAGATCTTTTATTTCAGAATAAGGTATTTCTTACTAAAAACATAGAGTATCATGAACATTAAAAAAAAAAATGTCAAAATGTTAACGATAAACCATCATTCTTCGAATTCGGACTCGTTAATTTCAATGGAGACGTGATTTTTGGCAACATTAACCCTTATCTCAATTATGCATAAAGTCCGATTCTGTAAATTCGATATTGGAAAAAAATGTTATCAAAACATATGCGGACTGAGTAGGAAATCTTTTTTTATCGAGTAGCTCTAAAAATCGGTCAACTATTTTATTTACAGGTAGAATGTTGTAAAAATGGGCAAGATTCAGCGGAAGGCCAACACTTAACAGTAAATCAGAACAGCTACGAACTAGAAAACCGGACGTAACCCAGCGGTATCGAGAGGAAAAATAGGTGTGGCATTATCAAAGGCTATTATTTTTCCTGCATAGGTAGTGACACACCCGTTTCATAGGCACTTTCTATTTTTACCAACGCATTTCGTCTTCTGAGGTACGTTATTCAGACAACAGGCTCTAAATGTTGACTTCAATGTTCACTTTTATATTTACATACGCTCTCTCTGATATTGAGCCTTTTATCCCATAAATATAGCACACCTTAAAACTATATATCTTTATATATCCAAATGAGAGAAACTCGAAAGTTGTTGTGTAGCAATTTCAACATATTTTTGTTCTAATACCTAAAATAAAATTTTACATACATATATATATATATATATATATATATATATATATATATATATTTTACCCAAAGCAAGGCAGTAAAGCCACTGAAACAAGGGTTTACTAGCTGTGAAAGCCAGTAAGTATAACAGAGTAATCAAGAAAAGAGTAGATAGCGATTGACATTACATTTAAATTTTTGAAGATCAAAGTTAGCCAGAAAGCATGGGGCTGGTAGAGTTTCACAAACAATAAAAGAAACTGTTAGCATAGAACTTACGGTTACATGTAGCCAATACGTGTCTCTGAAAATGCGCAGTGTGGTGTGTTCGATGATACGTATATATAAACCGTTTTAATATTATGAAACTCAGTGTAACAGCCTGTTTGACAATGTACTACTTACACAGACATAGAACTATTTGCATTTATCTCTCTATATTTATATTTCTATACGTGTGTCTGAATTCTACTTGTGAGAAGAAGCACCAATTTCTAAGAGGATTAGAAAGTATTAGAAATAAAGTTAGTCCTTCACCGGTCACCGAAGAAGCCATGCCTGAAGTGCTCTTAGACGTGAGCTGGAGACACGTCAGATGCACATCTTTCGAATAGAAATAGTACTCAATCCAGCGCTAATAAGCATTGTAACGATACACATTCAGCCATCAAATTTAATCCGTACAAGATTGGATGCAAAACATTTGAAGAATATCAGTCTCGGTTGGTAAGCTTCGTCTTAGAAAAGATTGCATATTACGTTTTTACGACTTCTACATCTGGGTTGAGAAAGAACGGCGAGAAACAAACAAAGTGAAGATAAAAATAATCACAAAGAAAAGAAATGAATTGGGATGGAAAGAAATAGAAAACAGTATGAGAGAAAAATCTTTTGAAAAGAAAGAATAAGATATTTCCACATTCGTTGCTCTTAGTGAGCATTAAAAAAAAATGAGGTAGAAGCCATATTGACAGAAAGCAAAATGATAAAAGTGGAATAAAAAGAGATAAAAAAAAAGAAAACAGAGAAAGCGAAACCAATTCGAAATAACAGAAAAGTCAAGACAAATTGATTGAAAGAAAAATATCGATGACTATATTTCTGTCCGAATCATGTGAGAGTTAGTACAGAATAATTCCAAGAGATGTAACATTTCACGATTCTTTGAGAATCCACCGCTTTATAATTGAAATCTCTGTGTCGCCTCAGGCGGAATGAATAAGATGTGGTGGGAGTGCCGAGGAGTAGAGAGAGTAAAAGGTGGAGAGAGCGTAGCGCAATTTTTAAAGCTCAAACCAAAATTCTGTTGAACATTAATCGGTAAAATTAACATTCTTTTAGTCAGGGATATCTTATGGTAAACCCAATGCACGCATCTATGACAGTTTACACTAGTCAATTGAGCCAATGCTGCCTCCGAAAATATTCCTGGAGAATCCTCAATCTTCTCCATTATAACTTTGATGGAATTAAATCTTCATTTATAGTGGCCAGAGAATTATATTATTATAATAATAATAAAAAAATGAAACACCAGAAACATATTTGTGTGTGTATATATATATATATATATATATATATATATATATATATATATATATATATATATATATATATATATAATAAATGATTTAAAATGTTTTTCGCTTTACAGTTCTAACCATGTTTCAAAATGCAAGCTAAAAGCCACGAATTTAATTTTTGCAATTAAATTAAAGACATTAGTTCCATTTCATCCTCAAGCGAATTTTATTCGCTTGAGGATGAAAATGGAACTGTCTTCCATTTTTAAAACATGGTTAGAACTGTGTAGCGAAAGAAACAATATTTTAAATCAATTAATTTATAATATTAATGCTCTGTAAATTTACATTGAGCACTATTTTGTAAAGATAAAAATATCTATAAAAACACCGGATTATATATCTTACTGTTCTTTCTTTTTATTTATATACACCCACACACACACACACACACACACACACACATATATATATATATATATATATATATATATATATATATATATATATATATATATTTGTTTGTTTTAAAGTTAATATATCTTTGCGATAGTGTGTGTGTATATATATATATATATATATAGTCAAACCTAGTGAGCCAGACAAACCTACAGGTTTCACCTAAGCGGATCGTCAGCCCTGACGATCCGCTTAGGTGAAACCTGGGTAGGTTTGTCTGGCTCACTAGGTCTGCTCAACGGTTGTATTGAGCTCTTTTTAGTTCGTTGTTTACTCGTGTCGAGGTTTTTTCTTTAGGCTTTGAACCTGTATCTGTGCGATTTTTTTCGACAGACTTTCATGTTTCTAGCTCTTTCTTTTATTTAAAACCTTTTTTCCTTCGAGATTAATTTGATTATTGCCAAATCAAAAAAATCGAAGGTTTTTCGAGACGAGCATAGTTATATATATATATATATATATATATATATATAATTACGCATTAAATGCAACACTCTTATTTTAATACTTTTAAACATTTCTGAACTGAAAGGAAACTTGATTTGTTCAGGAGATATGTTAGAATAATCCAGTATATATACTTTGATCAAACGACATTTCTACAGCTTGAAAACTGAATTGTGTAAGTAGCTTAAAAAAAGAAAGAGCCGTAAGACAAGGGAGGGTGGGGAAGGGCATCTTCTCACGAGATTTATTCAAACGTTTAAGATAACTGGATGTCCTCCCAGGAATTATTATTGGCTAGAAAGAACCGTGAATGTTTCACGGTTTTCCTATTTTAATATTTAGATGAATCTTAAGCTAATGATTGAGTAATCTCCTGAAAAATTCTACAATAAAATATATGTAGAAAGTCTCCCATCGGATCGTTAGTTATTTGGGCTTAACAACTTTGACAAACTATTACAATAACAAGCATAGATATGAATGCATGTCCCTATTGTAAGTGGGTACAATTGAAAACATTTGAAAATGAGAATATTTTTCTACTTCATTGAAAAATTTGTTAAGCACCTCTTTCTCCCCTTTCTTTCTTTTTCATTTTCGCACTGAATCCAAGTAGCGTCTGTGATATGCGTTTTGTTTATCAAGTCCATTATGACCCATATAGTACACACTTTATGAAAAATAAGCAGGACACGTTTACACTATCACTCTCTCTCTCCGCCCCTCTCTCTATCACTCTCTCTCTCACCGTCCCCATCTCTCTATCTCTCTCTCCCCATCTCTATCCCCATCTCTATCTCTCTCTCTCCACCGTCCCCCTCTCTCTCTCACCGTCCCCCATCTCTCTCTCACCGTCCCCCTCTCTCTCTCTCACCGTCCCCATCTCTCTCTCTCTCACCGTCCCCCATCTCTCTCTCTCTCACCGTCCCCCTCTCTCTCTCTCACCGTCCCCATCTCTCTCTCTCTCCCCCACCGTCCCCATCTCTCTCTCTCTCTCACCCCATCTCTCCCATCTCTCTCTCTCTCTCTCTCTCTCGCACCCCTCGCCTTCATATCAAACTGCCAAAAAATTATGTAATATTCTGCTATATATAGCAGTGGACGCTGGACAATTTCCTCAGATGAAGAGACTTGAAGCAATTGAAATGTCATTCTACAAAAGCATACTGAGAAAATGGGAACTCTTCGTTTGTCAAGCATTTATTGGCATCCAGGAGAACAGATATAACATACCATCCCAGGAGTTCGTTCGTTATTACCGAAAGTTTAATTTTTCTGAATACTTTGTTTTGCAAGATATCTATCACTATCCAGTGTGCCTTTGTATTTCCATGTCACACGCCAGGTAATACAGAGGGTGGATTAGAAACAAAAAAAATATCTGCACTACTGACAGTCTTTACTTCTGGATGATGACGGAAAATCCTTAAACAGAACAAAGAATATTAACTTTGGATAGTTTTACCAAATTTTATCCGGTTTTGCGGCAATTGATTCGGGGGTTAGAAAATACAGAGCCAGAATTCATCGGTAGAATTTAATAAAACTTGTTATATATAAATAAGTAGGCATTGAATTCAATACACAGGCGACAGTCTGTTTCCAGCTAAACACAAATGTCCGGCCATCGTTTAACATGAAATACTGTCGCCTCTGGATGTTATCTTCAATGTCCACTTTTCTATTTACATAGGCGCTATCTCTGATATTGAGCTCCTTAACCTGTAAACATAACATACCTTAAAACTATATTTTATCATATATGTATCTTGCATAAAAAAGTTAATTATCCGACCAGAAAACAGCATTATTAAAAAGTGCTCAATACACGTGTGAAAAAAATAAAAGTAATATAACATATAGAGCTCTGTGTGTGTGTATAATTATATTTTTTTATTTTAACTTGCGGCTTGAACAATTTCAGTTTACAAATTATACTGCGTTTTTTTTTTCCTTTTTTTGTTGATGGCAAGAAATATGGTGTATCGGAACGCAATAAAACTTTATCAAGTCCCAAATACAAAAGAGTTATAATATGCGAATATGCGAGTTCGAAATTCTTTTTAATAAATTTTAAATTCAAAAACGTTAACCTATATATTAAGTTAATCTGTTATAAAGTTTCAGATGAAAGAAAAGTAATTTTAGTTTTAAGACTATTATTATCTTGACATATGCTGATCTTATTTTAACATTAAAAAGATAGCATTTTCTGAGCGTTTATATTTTTTGGGCTTACTTTTATTACTTTTAGCTTTTTTTTATTTTTTTACAAAACACTCAGAAGTGAGCTGTCAAGTTTCAACCAGAAGCATTCAAATCTAGTTTTTGAACTTAAACTCCCGTGTCACGCCCGACAGCATGAGAGAATACTGCTGGTAATAGGTAAAAATATATAGATATTGATAAGCTAAATAGGTCTTTATTAAATTTTATTCAGAAAGATTTTCTCAACTTTATTCTACGCGTATATCAGTAGTGGATCTATATGCTTCAGAAACCTCAGGATGAATCCATAATTACATCATGTTATAATTATTTGAGAATGAAAGCGGGCAGACCGAGCTCTTTCGAACGATCAGCTAGTGCAGCTATCTAATTTATCTTTCCTTAACTCGAATTTGGCGTTCTCCTAAGGCAGAGATAAATATATGAATATGCAGGTGTAGATATATTATTAGCATGTTTGTGGGCTGAAAATTATATGTAACAGTATATTTGACGATATTTTCAGGGTATACGTAAAGAAATGAAAAACGTGTGCTGAGAGTAAAGCTCTGATATAGATTTCTTTAATAATTTCTCCTGCCAAATTTCAGGAATTATTTGTCCTTAAATTAGTTGTCGATAATTATGGGTGATCTCGAAATTAATAAGACCGTAAGTTTCATGGGGAATTCTTAAAAAGAAATTCTTTTGGACACAAGGAATTAGCGTATAAAATAAATTACTAGAGATTTAAGCGGCCGCGCAGAATTTTATTAGACCAAGAAAAAGCAAACATAAAAGAAAACGTAACTATATTACTATATAAAATGTTAATAACGAAATATTAATTAGGTTTAATTTTTCTAATATACAGGATGCAAAAACAGGGACAATGTGCGTACGAAACATTTTCCATTGGAAAACACAAAGATATCAATAAAAATATCAATCCTTCAGATTTTCAAAATGTTTGCACACGTCTTTCGCACACTCGTCTTTGCTTGCCAAATATTTATTAAAAAAAAAATTATGAAAATGTTTTTAATGAATTTTAGAACCACTATTATAATACTGGTATAAGGAAACCTCGAGGTGGTCTCATGCTTAGCAAGCCTGTGGAGCTAGTTCAATCACGAATGAGAAGTGAGTACGATACTTGCTTTCGACCTTGTGCCATATCCAAGCTACGCTAGGAAAATCACTATTATACTGGTATAATACTTACTGCATATCAACTTCTGCCGTCCCTCTTCATTCATTTTTCTCGTGTGTGAGTGTGTATATATATATATATATAGAAACATTTTTTGACCAATCCAAAATGGAGTTAGGTGACTACTACTACACACAAGACAATGGTTAAAACATTCTACATAGGAAGTAACAGAATATACAGAAGAAACTATATATATATATATATATATATGAAATAGATGCACATTATAATCAAAAGCGTTTGCGGCTTTTTCTCTCCTCTCATCTTTCTTTCAATCTTTAAATAAATTTATATATATATATAGAAAAGTTATCTTGTGACGCGTTTCATCCTTTGACTCCATCGCATAAAATTCGTCACAAAATATTTTCCATAATATTTTTCTTGATATATAAATATATATAAATCTCTCTCACTCACACACATTTATATTAATTTGTCTGGTGTTGCATAAAATTTAGTCTCTGCGCACTTTTTTCTCGCTTTTTGCTCAGAGAGAAACTAACTGGTTTAACAGGTAATTATATTTCGTTATTACCGTTTTACAGTAATGCATATTTTGTTACCACTCCTTTTCTTGTTTCTATATGTTTTTTAATGTGTTTGCTTTTGTTGCTCTTCATATATATATATATATATATATATATATATATATAATTTCTCCCTATGTAAAGGGACAAAGAGTTACTTAGTGTGGTTTAGAATGTCGGCCACTGAGTCCGTCGTCGATCAAGGAAAGTTCAATACAACGGAGTGCGCATATTTTTTCTTTAACAAAATTTCTCGAATATCCAGGCCGGTAAACAAAAATAAATGTGTACAATTTAATAAATAAAGGTAGCATCTACTCAAATATGGGTAACCACTAAAAAGGTTTAAGTAGTGAGTGTTGTAAGAATGATGCCATCAACACGGTCACATCATGAAATAATTTGTAAAGTTCGAACAACTCAACACCATGATAAACAAACCAAGCACGTCAAATTCGACCAATGATGGTTGAACATTTTTCTCGGAACAATTCTTACAATCACTGGAGTGAAGAACCTGCCATTTTCCCGACTAGTCGAAGCAATGAATCGTTCTCCTGTACGAAGTCAAAATAAATTGTTAAAATACGTTTTTATATAGTTTTCAAAAAAAAAAAAATCTATTTAAATGACGTACGTGTGTGTGCATACACATACGTGTGCTCGAAAAATTCAATTTTTCGCAAATCTGTTCGACGAAACAAACTTCTTAAATCTGACAAATCATTTATCAAAAATACTGATTATTACTGCAGCGATTAGCTTATATACATTTACTAATTTTAAAGCCTTCACAGAATCATTAGCCAATTTATTTTCGTACAATTTCCGACATATTTAATAATGTGAAATAGGTAATTAGAAAGAAAACAAAACTAAGCATGCGTATACATGATTTATGCAGATGGATTAGTCGTATAAAAAAAGTCATTTATCTCATTCTTAATTTTGTGTGCATAGTTGGCGCCTCATAAAATACTTATGGAAGATATCCACTGTTGGCGTATATCTGTCAAACGTAAATTGAATTATTACTCTTATGATTGCATTTAACAAGTATTTAAATTGTATCTACGTCTGACCGGATAAATGATTGATTTAGTTTAAAAAGAAAAGAAATAATTGGCCTGAGGTTGGAAAAGTATTGTCATTTATTTCATTATCTCCCAAATTTCTTCCTGTGCTGTCTCCTTTTTCTCCCCCTCCCCCTCTCTTTGTCTCCTTTTTTCTCCTGCCCTCTCTTTGTCTCCTTTTTTCTCCTGCCCTCACTTTGTCTCCTTTTTTCTCCTGCCCTCACTTTGTCTCCTTTTTTCTCCTGCCCTCACTTTGTCTCCTTTTTTCTCCTGCCCTCACTTTGTCTCCTTTTTTTTTTTTTTTTTCTGCCCTCACTTTGTCTCCTTTTTTCTCCTGCCCTCACTTTGTCTCCTTTTTTCTCCTGCCCTCTCTTTGTCTCCTTTTTTCTCCTGCCCTCACTTTGTCTCCCCCTCCCCCTCTCTTTGTCCGTCTTCCATAAACGCATGGGCATGTTTATTCGGGTTTATATGGGCGCGTAGTCGTGTGGTTAGAACATTTGTATTCTGACAATGAGACCCGGGTTTAATTTTTCTTTCTACATTTTAATCATTTCACCCAAGCAAAATAAGAAATCCACAAGTGGTTTACTGGGTGTGAAAGAAAAAAGAAACATTAAATCATTAAGGTGAGAACAATAAAAGAATCAAACCAATGACAAGTGACATTGCTTTTGAACTTTTGAAAAGTAAGGTTGACCGGAAAGCAATGAGCCAGCAGAGTTCCACAGGCGAGAAGTGCGATAGGAGAAACTGTTAGCAATTAACTTACGGTTACATCCAGCCAATTTAACTGTAAAATGATGAGGTCTTTCCTCCAATACATTACTGCCCTTAAATTCATAAATTCTAGGTACCATAAAGCAAAGTTCATCAGAACAATTAGCATGAAAGTATTCATAGAAAAGGCACATTATGAAGGTGAGAGTAGTTGGAAAATTACTGCATCAAATTCTTCCGATTTTATCAAGAATGCTTTAGATATATAGCAGGGTCACCAGGTTACACGTGACAACGCAATTCAAAGCACTGTTGAATGGTAGACTTATAAATATGTAAGATAGATAATCTTTCTCTCCAGAATCTAACATGAGACAGTGAACCAACATTCTTACCTGCAGACCTATCAATTGATTTAATATGATATTTCCACTTCATAGCATGGAATGGTAACCCGAAACAGGGAAATCCGTCACTCTCTTGGAGAGACAGGGAGGTGAATTCTTTGTATGGCGAGACAATCTCAGCATGCGGCAAGTGTTTGAAAACCATACCACGGGTAGACTAAACTCTTTGGAAACTATCGAAAGTTGTACTGATACGAAGTTGTATATATATATATATATATAGATTTATCATAAAGTAATATCTTCTATATTATTATGTGTTGACCAAGGGGGATGATCGTAGCAAAATAACATTTTGTACAGAGAACATTTGAGCGGTAACTTCTGACGTAAGTGTTTATGAAGCGTATATGTTACAGGCAATTCCTTCATATGGGAAAATTCATACCTGTTGAAGGTCCAACGGACTAAGAATTGGGTGTGAACACCGTGTAGTCTGCTTAATAATGACGAAAACGATGAATGTTAAAATCGTTGACTCCATGAGCACAACTCTTTTTCATTCGCGTTATGCCAGATCATTCATTATATGTGGGGGGGGGGCTTAGCTTATGCTGGTACCTATGTTGAAATATAGATTTGTAGGCGAGAACCTAAATTAGACCATGCTATTGTTTTGTCAGGAGTGACTCTATTCTATATAGTTCCCATGGAAATAAATAGTAAATGTTTGTATATATTATATATAAACCTCCCAAAAACGCGATACCTCAGGTTCAAAATTGTGTTTTTGAACTATTTTCTTCATGCATTTATTTTAAATTTCAAGCTAATACATAAAATTGAATATTTTCAATAAGCAAAAATGCTTTGCGGCATTTCAAAAACAATTTCAGTACAATGTGATTGTTTATTTAAAAAAAAAAAAACTTAAAAAATAAAGTATTTTTCTGAAACCTTGAGGAATATTAATTGATTTAAATTTCAATTAATCTGATTTAAAACAATTATTATTTAAATTTAGTTTAAAATATTACAGAAATGCATTTTTAACACGGAGATAGGCTTTTTATAAGGTGTTGAAAGCCAGAAATTCAACTAGTTTTTCTACGGGGGATATATCTGGAAAAGTTACTTGAGGAATATAACATGAGCACCTTATATATATATATATATATATATATATATATATATATAAGACCGAGACAATAAATTTCACCCTCATTAGTAAAGAACTTAATTTATCACGCAGGGAATATTTAGAGGTAGTCCGAAAAATTATTTTGCTATTTATAAACCCGTATAAAACATAATTTATTATATCACCAACTTTTATAAAATCCATATAAAATACTAGCTACCTATCACCATAACGTAAAATATTCCACTCTCACTGAAAACATCCCTCAATCAACATACAAACTAATAGCAGACATAGATGAAAATGCCAACTAGATGCATAAATACTCTCACTCACATAAACACACACGATCAATCGAATCCTGCATAGGCCAAATAGAAGTGTGATACGTAAAAACACATGAATTCTACATAGGAAAAATGCTTGACTGAACAGATGCAATTGAATCTTGCTTCATCAATGATAGAACAAAAATAAAAATAGCACAATTTTCTTTTTATTTTATATTCTGATGAAGCCTAAATCCAAGAGAAACCTCTCATATTTATAAAAGTTTCCTATTTTGTTTTTCATCCAAAATATATATATATATATATATATATATATAATGATGGTTGTTTACTCCTCCATTTAGATCATGAAAACTTTATTAAATCAACCGTTATTTGCATCATTCGGGTAAGAAAGTGACTGACAGGAATATTCAAGGTGACAGATTCAGTCGCAGTTTCTATTACATAGTTTCCCTCTTAGGACTGATTGTTTTCACTACGCATGTGATCCCACTGTACTGTAACAAGGTGAGGGAATCGATATCACTTTGGATTTAGCAGTTCCCACACTTGGATTCGTTACCTTCACCGCAGTTAAGGACTGCGCTCTCTCTCTCTCACACACACACACACACACACACATATATATATATATATATATATATATATATATATATATATATACACGTACACAATAATGGTGGTAATAAAAGAGTGTTCGATGTAAAATAACATTTTTACTATCTTTATTAATAATAAATTTTTGGCTGATTTGGAACCGTAGAACTAAAATTGCAAAATTGACATTTAATTCATTCATTTTGAATAACTCTATCCACGCACACAGACATACACACACACACACACACATATATATATATATATATATATATATATATATATATAGCTTTTTATTATTTGTTTATACTCGTCTCTTTAGCAGTTTGTCTGACCACAAACTCTTTTTATTATCTATGTATATGCATGTCCTCTTACGAAAGACAACGGATTTGCTTCCTGTTGCATTATCCATAGATATGATTTCAGATTAATAAAACTCCTAGCTTGGCGGCCACTTTTTAACTCGTAGGTGGAGGAGGAGAGGAAAAGTATTAGACTTTGTGACAAAATCAACGCAACATACTAGGCGGAAATTTGAACTCTATTGACCGAATGCACTTTTGCGCTGATAGACGTTTCGCAAGCCACACACGAATGTTATGTATATATGCGACTATCGCTGTGCATGAAAAAATGTACGCAAAATAGATCTATCATATCATATTCCATTACTCGTCGGTAGCAAGTCTTAGTTTTAGGCACAACGCAATTCTTCCGAGTCGTGCTACCGTGTAGGATATTTATTAATATATACTTAATAGCTCTGTTATATTATATCGAGTACTCTTTTATTATCACCAGCACTTAATATCCGATATGTTCAAAAAAGAAAAACACACACACACATATATATATATATATATATATATATATATATATATATATATATATATAATTGGTGCATAATTATCAGGCGTTTTTGTAGTTGAGTTATTTATTAATAAAAATGCTGTTTTATTTACTGTTTTTAATAAAACTATTATTTTCAGGTTATAAAACTGCGTGTTGTTAATCTTACAATCCGGAATAATCATTTCAACATGTTATTGTTGAATTGCCATATTTCTTTTTCGTAATAGTGTTCAAAACGCCTGATAATTATGCACCAACACATTGTGGAAATAAAGTCACTATACAGAATTAATTTGTTGATTAATTGCTTTGTCTCGTTATTGTAAGTAACTGTATAATGACTTTATTGCCAGCCTGTATATATTGTATTCAGATTATATCTGCATACATTGAAATTATTATATATCATTAAATAACATTCAGGATGTGTTTTGTTGTGAAAATAATTATACATACTTGGAAATAAATAGACTTACCTGGCAGGACTATAGATGGCCCATAGGGATCCTTGCGTGTTTGGTTGAAATAGTCCCGGATAGTTACTATTACATTGTTTTTATCCGACTGTCTGTCCGAAACTCCATTGCGGTTATTCAACGGATTCTGGCCTTTTCGTGACTGTTCGTAACCGGGTTTCGACCTCGGTATCTGAGTAGTTGTGGTAGTTGTGGTCTTCCGTCTTTTTTCTGAAATATCTGTCCAAAAATCCGGAGCTTTTCTTAGTAATATGACATAAGACATGCATACAAAAAACATCAAAACTCATGAATGTGAAATATAATTATTATTATTAACACATGTTTAATTAGTTTCTAAATCTGTACAGAAAATGCTCACAATACGTTGTATGTAAATGACTATACATTATCTACACTCACAGCTATTAACATCAAATTTGACATTTTCTGATAAGAAATGGAAAGAAAAACCTTATATAAATCTACTTGGGGCAAAGTCAGAATTATAAACAGCGTAATACATTTTGTTTGATTCACTGAAATTGAGTATTTTTCTACTTCTCGAAGTGAGTTATTTATTTAAAGTACGTGAGTAGATGATTCTTTGTCCGCATTCCATGTCTTGAGATAATTCACCTTCTTTCTCTCCCTCCTTTTCTATTCCATTGCTAGCCATGTTCTCAATTTTACTATCCAGCCCAGAGACTGAACTCAAAAGTACAGTGTATTTACCTTATAGTCTGAAGTCAGAAAAAACAAAAGAGGTAATAAAAAAATTAATTATCTCGGAAGAAGGCCAGAATGGACAATAAGAGGAACACTGTCGCTATATTAACGATAACTTCTCGAATAAATCTGTTTATAATCGCGAAGCAAAAGGGAACTTCGTCGTCGCCTAATGGTTATCAAGCTTGTCTTGATCAATTATAAATGAGTAGTGAGTTCAATCCTCTCTGGGTGCTCCATAATTCTGGCCATTGGGCCACACCTATGCTACACTTAGTAAATCGCTTAGTAATGCAGTTCAAAAGA